AATATAACAAATAGTTGTGTGTCTGATTGGTCCAAATGCTACACTACCTAGCATTGTTCGGGAGGCAGACACACTCTGTCAGTTTAAATCTAGATTAAAGACCCATCTCTTTAACCTGGCGTACACATAACACACTATCACAATTCTACAATTCAAATCTGTTAAAGGATTGTTAGGCTGCATTAATTAGGACACTTCCCATAATATCCGATGTACTTGCTACATCGTTAGAAGAATGGCATCTATGCTAATATTAGATCAGGTGGTCATTGCTGTGACCCGGATCCAGTCCGTATCCAGCCCAGATGGTGGATCAGCACCTAGAGACGACCTCTACAATCCTGAATGTCAGCAGAGAGCACATCAACTAGATGCGCCCCAGAGACAGATCCACTGTGAAGACCTCATCACCTCGTCGACCATCGGCACAAGACCACGTGTTGCAGACTGTAATTATGCTCCGCCGTGGTGGTCTGCTGTCTGGCTCTGGGGGTCTTCTGCTCCGCCGTGGTGGTCTTCTGCTCTGCCTGCTCCACCGTGGTGGTCTGCTGTCTGGCTCAGGTGGTCTTCTGCTCCGCCGTGGTGGTCTGCTGTCTGGCTTTGTCTATATACCTGTTTGCCATTGTCCGACCCTTGCCTGTTTTGACTGTTTCAGAATAAAGCTTTGCACATGGATCCGCACGCCTCACGTCTTGTTTGCCCCGTAACACTCTGTCAGTTTAAATCTAGATTAAAGACCCATCTCTTTAACCTGGCGTACACATAACACACTATCACAATTCTACAATTCAAATCTGTTAAAGGATTGTTAGGCTGCATTAATTAGGACACTTCCCATAATATCCGATGTACTTGCTACATCGTTAGAAGAATGGCATCTATGCTAATATTAGATCAGGTGGTCATTGCTGTGACCCGGATCCAGTCCGTATCCAGCCCAGATGGTGGATCAGCACCTAGAGACGACCTCTACAATCCTGAATGTCAGCAGAGAGCACATCAACTAGATGCGCCCCAGAGACAGATCCACTGTGAAGACCTCATCACCTCGTCGACCATCGGCACAAGACCACGTGTTGCAGACTGTAATTAAACCACGCCATGCTGGTATCGTCTGGCCAGAGGAGAACTGGCCCCGACTGAGCCTGGTTTTTCCCCTCAAAAAGGGTTGTGGCAGAAAAACATTTAAAAAAAAACAAAAGAAAAAAAATGTCATGACATTCTCTGCATTCGGCATATTTTTACTGTCTACCACTGGACTGAACCAATCTGAGTAAGATAAAGAAAGTAGCAGTTTCAGTTGCTTTTATGGTGTGATTTTTTTTTTCCCCCATGGGGGGGAAATTATCTCAAATACATTAATCGGACGCATTATCGTTGTACCTTCTTGAGATGCAAAACAAATCTACATGTGTCTGAAAAGCAGCAGCCCAAATGGCCCGTTGACATTGAAACATTCACATTGTATCTGTTGTTTTTTGAAGTATGAAGGTCCACAGACAGAATTATTTACAAATCAATTTATTTACAAAACCATGCAATTACAGCAAAAAACAGCAGTTATACAATAAGTGTAGATAAAATATTTAACACATTTTGCAAAATTACCCATGAATTTACTTGAATGAATGAGGGATTTATATGTACACTTGGACTGTAACATTTAATGAATAAAGGTTAAAACATTAAAAATTTAAAAGGTGTTTTGAAAAACACATTGGTAAATGGCAAAGTTTTTGAATTAAACATTTTGTACTTGGTAAAATAATTTAAATAATTATTACCTAACTATGAATACTTTTTAAAGGTAATCAGTGAATACTGTTCTTGGTTGTTGCTCATTGTGGGTCATTGTGCAGCATGTCTTTCCACATCTTAGTCCAGAGAGTACTTTGCTTGGGAGCTTCAACTGGTAAATGGCAAAGTTTTGGAATTAAACATTTTGTACTTGGTAAAATAATTTAAATAATTATTACCTAACTGTTACTATGAATAATTTTTAAAGGTAATCAGTGAATACTGTTCTTGGTTGTTGCTCATTGTGGGTCATTGTGCAGCATGTCTTTCCACATCTTAGTCCAGTGAGTACTTTGCTTGGGAGCTTTCATTTCTGCACCTGTAAAGAGTAAATAATGCACAAGTATCTATTACTAAAGGTCTATCTGAATGCACCAAACGGAATGAAAGTAAATGTATATATATATAGTCTCAAAGCACATGTTGTTTGAAAGACTATTTACTTATTATTTACCCATTTAATTCTAGCACATTAAGTGGCTGTGTCCAGTATGATTGAAATTTAAAGTGTGTATCATCCTAATTAAAGAGATAGTTTACCCAAAAATGAAAATCATTTACTTCCTTTATGTCGTCTACCACGTGACAAACCTGTTGGTTTTGATTACCAGAATTCTTCAAAATATCTTCTTTTGAGTTCTGCAGAAAAACAAAAAATGAGGGGGAATTGATGTAATAATGTAAATGATGACAGAATTCTGGGTTAACTATACTTTTAAGTAAATTA